TAAGATTGCAGGTGGCGAATCGAAACCAACTTTTCTGTAGACGCGGTTTCGACCATCTAGCTTATATAATAGGATTCTGGTCTCATCAGTGAAAAGAACATTTTTCCAGTTGACGACATTCCAATGAATTTATCTTCTTCCAAAATTTAAACCACGAGCTTTGTGATTTTGGAGAAGACTTGGAACTTTTGCAGGGCATCTAGGCTTCAAGTTTGCTTCTTTTAATCTCCGTCTAACTGTTTTTGAACTCACATTAACTTATCTAACACTCACTAGCTCATTTCTGAGGTACATTGATATCAATGAGCGATTTCTTGTAGAATTAAGAACCAAAAAATGGTCATTAATTGCGGTTGTCTACCTTGGGCGTCCTTGATCAGTCCTTCGTACAAAACTGCCTGTCTCATGGTACCTTTTTAAAATATTCAAAACTGTAGATTGATTTCTCCGAGAAGCCGTGTGATATTTTTGTGTATATCCTTCCTCGTACAAAATTACAATCTGTGCTGCTTGAGCTTCATCGCAGTATCGAATTGGTGGTAATTTGTTTTAAAATGACCGAATTACTATGGTTTTTCCTTTACGTGAATAAGGTTTTTTATGATAAAATGTACGAATGACACTAAACGCTGAATAAACGTCAAAATATTTTTAAAAAATTGAGTACATCAGCGTACTCTATAAGTAAAACCAGTAATCTAAAATTATTTTGAAATAATAGTGACAATAAAAAAAATTTAAAGATTTAAAAATATTGGATATTTTTGTCCATGAGTTTATTACCTTTGAATAAAAATTTGGATTTTCAATACATTTTCCAATTTACCATTCTGCAAATTGTATTCGTCTCTAGCAATCGTTTAGGTATAATTTTTGTCAAACAAACGTAGGATAAGGCCTAAATGTATGTTTCCTTAAAGATTTTAGATGGGTTTTTAAATTGAGAAGGAAATGCCTATTTCCTTCTGGTGGCTTCCTTTTTGGATATCGTGGAAAATATCATTCAAATGCAGCAATAACATTCTTTTGGCATTTAATTTACATGTCAAATACACATTTTATTTTTTATAATTTTCAAAATTCATGTTTTTATTGTCAACACTTTACATCGAAACAGTAATTATGGCAGATAACAGAGATGACACAGATAGTGGTTTCATTTGTTAGGCTAAGATTACTAAAGCCTTTTCTAACAAACGAAGTTTTTTACAAGATATAAAAATATGTCATTTTAGATGTAAAAATAATACCATTTACGGAAATCAAAATCGAAACGTAAAATTGTGGATTATTCTCAATAAAAATAGTAAATTACATTAAGATGTAACAAGAAAATAGCTTCAGAACAACAATAAAAAATAGAAGGTAATAAAATACAGTGTTTTATTTTATGACAATTTTATTTATAAAATATGAAATCGTTACTTTAAAAATAATAATTTACTTTTAACAAACAATAAGCAGTTAATATTTACTCTACTTTCAAGTTAGGTAGTTACTGATTTTATTTTTGCTATAGTTTATTTTTATGAACGAGAGAGTAATTAGCATAATTTTAACTGGTACCTTCGACCACTCCATGGGCGTGCTCAAGATTAATTGAAAAATTACTTTGAATAATTGTAAAAAATAAATGAATTATTTCAGTGTTATAAACTGTTATGTGTATGTAAATAAAGTGACCTTTTTTAACACACACTATATTAGAACTGACTGGCCTACATTAAAAAGCGTTTTAAAAAATTCACATTTTTTTAATTTTTAAAAGTTACAAAAGAGAAAAAGAGTTTTTAAAACCGTCTAAGGTATGTTAAATAGATGAATAAAAATATTAATATAAAACTTACAGCTACTTGTTACAAATCCAAATCAGATTCAGAAGATGAACTTTCAGAACCAAGATTTATAATAACTGGCTCGATCATTTTATCAGTAATATTGTCCAGCTTCCACATTTTTTCCTCTTCTTTAATAGTGTGATTTACTGCCTTTTCCCAGTTTTCAGGTTTTACGTTATTTACTTCCTCCAAAAACAACTGTTTAACATCATGAATTTTAAAAGTGGTATTTTTTCTTGAAACTTCACTCTTTATCTGTGCCCATACCAGTTCAATCGGGTTTAATTCACAATGATATGGTGGGGATCTAAGTACTGTCATTCCACGATTTTTGGCAATTTCATCAATTTTGTATTTTTTAAATTTTTCTTTATGAAGGGCACACAACGAATAAAGTTCCTTTCTTATAGATCCGGGATGGTACGTAATATTTTTTGAACTCAGCCAATTCTGCAAGTCTTTTTTTAACCACTTGGTTGTGGGCAGTCTATAAGTCTGGAGTGATAACTTGCATTATCCATTACTATTACACAGTTCTTAGGAAGAAGATCTATCATTTGTTCGAACCATTCTTGAAAGACATCAGCGTTCATATCTTCATGGTAGTCACCGGTACGAGTTGATTCAAAAGTTAATAAACCACCTTCAACAAAACCGTCTGAACTGCCAATGTGTACTATTATCAGCCTGCGTCCCTTTCCTGATGGTGGGTTTAAACCAGTAGATAAGTTATTTACAAAAGCGTGCCTTTGACTTGTAACAGTTTCATCCTGCCAAAATTTATTTGTTGTATGACCCTCGTTGATCCATGTTTCATCAAGATAAAATATTTTTCTTTTTTGGTTTCTCATTTCCCTTATGGTTCTTAGCAAATGTCTTCTCCATATGACAATATCGCTTCTTTCTAATAAAATATACTTTCTGGGATTCTTTTTCCAGCGGAAGCCTATTTCTTTTAAAAGTTTCCATAATGTACTTCGACTCATTTCTGGGTAATCCTCTATCTGGGTAATCATCTCGAACTGAGACAATAACTTTATCCAATGTTGGAAATTCTTGTCTAAAGAAGAATTCATGCACTTTCCGTCGAAGTCCTTCTTTAAAATGATATTCTATTTGAAATTTTGGTTTGCCTGGAGCATTACGTGGCATTTGAAAACTACCACATTTCTCTTCTTTAATAACTCTGTAAATCGTAGATTTCCCAACACCAAGTGTACTGCTAACTAACTCAACGGTCTCATCAACACTTTCACAGAAACGTTTGTCTGTAAATGATTTAAAACAATTAAATATTAATGTTTTTTCATTAACTGTTAAAGGACCAATTTTTCGGCGTTTACAAGGCACTTCCAAATTTTCCATAACACTAGTATACACAATAAACTGCACCTTGCAACTGAAGTACCTACTTTTAGTGAACTGTTAAGAATTTTGAATACGCCACTTGGACCTTCCTACAAAATGGAAAAACCCACTATCACCTTTTCTGTGGAATAAGTTTAGAAGATAATTATCTAGTCAATTACTGTCGTAGATTCCTGGAATTAAAGAATTAAATGTTTGATTGTTGAAACCCTTACTTCGTGGAATGCACTAATTTCAGATAAAATAAAACGTTTTATTTTATCTAAAGAATTAAACTTTATTTTGCAAATAGGTAGGTACTTATTAAACTTTTATTGGTTATATATAACCAATAAAATAAACATCTTACATTTCTTGCAAATTCATTAGTACCTGTTAACCTCCATCACTCCGACACTGGCAACCTTATTTAGGGATTAGTAACCCTCACAACTATTGCATTCTATTCTGCTCCAACCTGGTGGTCATACTCAATTTAAAGTTGTTTTCCTATATACTTCTGTAAACTTGTTGACAAATATCTGTTTTTCATTGAGTCACCCGTATCAACAGTTTAGGGATTTGCATACATAAAAATACACTATAAATAAAACCGTCAAGGGATTAGTACCAGCATAAGTGCCTTAACATGACGTCAACTATAAGCATTTTATTTGCAGAGTAGCTTCAACAACTAAAAACATAGACAGTCAAACAACTATAACATGTCATATCAGGTGAAAGAGAATTAAAAATGTAAACGAAAAATGTCAAAATATATAGGGAATCCCATAAAAAAAAAACAGTTGGTATTATGTTTTATAGTGAGACTTCCGAAAAAAAATATCTTGTAAGCCACTAAACCTTACCATAATATTTCTGTACTGCCGTTTTCAATAATCGCCCAGTATCTCCCTAATGTGAGTAGCTATTGATAATTTGATTGCGCAATCGTTACTATAACGAAAAAAGAAGTCATGATATCTTAACTACTGTTTTTTATCTCGTCTAGTTTTCGGTATACCTTGCAAAACATACCAATTTGGGACACCCTGTACATCTTGACAGATGTGCAGTAATTATGCATTTACCTCTATTCTGGGTATGCATGTAGTGCATTGACTAAGTTTGTGTATAGTAATTTTTCAACTATATCCAACTGTCCAAGATATCCCAAGAATTCTTTTCCAATACCACATCTCCAATGCATCGATCTCTCTCTAACTGCTGTTCGGATAATCCACGTTTCAAAGGCATAGCTAAATACTAGAAAAACCAATGTTTGTACAAAATTAATCTTAGTCTTATGATCGTGTTATAAATTCGTGAATTGTTTGTTTTTGGCAAGGATTTAATACCTTCCATCTTCTTTTTCCTTAGTGGGTTTGTTCATTAACTTTTTATAATTACCGTCAAATAGATCAAATAACTAACTCTACTAAATTTATATTTGGTATTTTCTCTGTTGTGTGTTTTCCAGAATTTTTGTGATTTCAAGATCAGACATTGTTACCTCTGCCTCTAATCTAAATCTAACATGCTCCAGCTTCTTCGTTGTTTTTACTAGTATAATAAGAACATCGCCAAAAGCTAGGTACTGATGTTCTTTTTTAAACATGGATTAGAATATAAACAAATATGTTTGCCAAACAAAATAAACGATGACAATTGACAATACCATATAAAGTAGATTTACTAATAGTTTTTTTTTAATGGCTTTGACTCAAAACCTTTAGCCACCTTTCTAATAGTTACAGACTAATAAAGAAACCAACAATATCGAGCCACTAAAAAGTAATATCCAACTGAACTTACCCCTGTTTCATAATCCATAATCAGCACCCAGTTATTGTCTAAACACAGCTGCATCTTTTGCGACCATATTCCATTACTTTTCTCCAACTGCAGCAGTCTCCTCATTCCATCTGCTGGGTAAATGATACCCGTTTCTTTATTTACCGTAAAAGTAGCTAAATGTTCGATGACGTGAACTGGTTTGCCTACACCTTCATTCATTCTGTCTTCGCGGTCGAGTTCTCGGTCGTCTCCCGAATAACCGTTTCGATATGCCATGATTACTGGATCTTTAGTCCTGCAAACAGTAATGGAACATCACTAAACACATATCCGACTAAATTTTTTAAAATGTATTATCTGAATTAATCTTATCTCTAAAAAGATATGTTAAGGAGTAATTTATAGCAAAGAAAAACGCGAGAGAATGCAATACTCATTTAACCGTATGCATATCAAAAGCCATATGACTATTCAAGTATTTTTGGAAGTTTTTTAAGTGTACATTTACAATAATAATTACTTATAACTAATAATGCTTAAAATTATTAAAACATTGCTCATTATTACAACACTTTACAGCAGAAGTAAAAAATTGGGAAGAAAACCTTGGAGAGGCAGTTTGGTTTTATAAATGAAGGGCTCCATTCTAAAAAATAGTCTTATCCAATTTAAAAAAAAAATAAGATACAGGTGATTATAGCATATATACGTTGTCACTTATGGAAAACTCCGTTATCCTGCGTTAGAAACATAAGAAAATCCAAGTATCATTCAATATGTTATCCATCGTATATATCATTCCAAAACTCACTTTGTTCGAGCGACCCATAGAAACTCAGAATTTGTATTTCGTAAGCATCACTTAACAATTATTATAATATCCATCATACGAAATACTTGAAAACGTTTTGTTCTGTTGACATTTTAACACTTCTTTGTCAAAAAATATTAAATAAAAAACAAAAAGAAAAAATTCAAATCTTAACCACTTAAAACAGCTTGATACATAACTCGGCAAGGGAATCTAAGATTGCATTCCAAATGCCGTTCATCATGGTCAAAATTCGTAGTGAATTTAATTTCTGGTACTCCAAACGGAGTAAAGAAATAAAACATAATGACGGTACTAGATTTTGATTCGATACAGAGCAGCAACAAGCCGCTTATACGTATTTTGACCTCTTTAGGTCTCCTTAGAACGGTGTAGCCACTACTCCGTATCGAAACAAAATCTATTCCCGTCGTAGACAATAGTTATCAAAATAACTATATACAGACGTCACTACGCCATCTAAGAACAAAAAGAAAAATCATATGATTTCTACCTGGCGAAATCGAATTCAAATCTTAACCACTGCGCTTTCTAAAACTTGCAAAGCAAACAGCCTGATAAATAACTCGGCAAGAGAATCTAAGATTGCATTCCAAATCCCGTTCATCATGGTCAAAATTTGTAGTTTCATTTCAATTGAAACAGCTGGAAACTGTTTCCAGCTGTTCTGCGTGTGTAGAGGTTTACTCCCCGGCTCTGGAACTCACTTCAGCAATGTATGTTACCTGAAGTCATATTTAATTTAATACTGAACATCACAGTTTTTTAACAACAATATGTATAATCTTTTACAACTATATGTAATTTAAAGGGTTTTTACCCATGTATTTTGATGGCTCAGGCATTTTAACCTAGCAATTTTAAAATTTAAACCTGATGATGGACTGTGTAATCCGAAAACGTTTGTTTTTTTGATGTAGCCCTTTTAAGGGTTTTTTAAATAAATATACCCACTTACGAAGACTAACCTTTTTTTGTGATACGTGGTATACAGCCAGCTACAGGAATTGTTTTCCTTGTGGATTTTATTTTAAGTTATGTTTTTTTTAATTAAGAGACTAAAAATTACTAAATTGACAGATTGTAAATAAAGTCCTGGAAGGAAGTGGCAAAGAAATACAGTCCTGGCATTTCAAGTTTTTAACCAAAATAATTATAATTGAAACACATTTGAATAAAATAAAAGTTAGAAGCAAGAAAAAATACAACAGCGATATTGAAGAAGCAAAACCACTTTTTAAAGTAGAAACGAGCAACCCAGATGAAGTTTTTGAGATATAGAAAGGTGTGTGCAGTAAATAAAAAGAAAGTTGAGGACGTCGAGAAGTTACTAGATTTCCTCTTTGGATAACATACGGTGGAGCAAAAACATTTAACTTTTTTTAAGGGTTTCTGCTAGGAACAAGTCAAACTTATTAAAAGATTAGATAAAGAGATCGAAACTAATGAAGAATTTAGAATATCCTAATAAACCATATTTCCTTATTATAAAACCAATCTTTAAAAATTATTAAAAATAAAATATATTAGATAATACATGTTAGCATTCCGTTTTGCTGAACATCTTAAAAAAATCAGAATCGGTGAAAATATTTTTGCTTTATTTGTAGATTACAAAAGACTTTAATTAAAAAGTAGAATATAAGAATTTATGACGTGAAGATATTTGCATCATTAAAAATGTGTAGTAAATCGTCAACGTAAAAATTGGGTATAGTTATGCCAACAAAGATATCTATACAATGAGGAGTTGACAACATTGATCAGAAGATCAACATTGTTCAATTTAAACTAAGATAATTTGTTCAAAAAACAGTTCAAAAGTCAATCATATGTAACATAAATAAATGGAGAATTACTTAATACAATTAGATTGTTAATAATACAGTAATTCTATCAGGACTTCATATTCTGATCAATTGTATCTACGGAATAGGAGAGGAAAAGAGATTCTTGACAACAAGAAATCAACTTTTTAGTCTACCTTTTGTAACCCATCGAATTAAATGGAGTATAAGTTGAGACTCTCTCCATGTGGTGAACGCCGGTATCCTGATCAAATGTGTGGAAAATTGTGGTAACCAACCCCAGTGAGAAGCAGGGCTAACGAGAACGAAAAAAATGGTTCTCCGAAGACTAGTGGTTAGGCAAAAGGTTAACGGCCTCTTCCCTTAAAAAAAACTTTTGTTATGATAGCATAACACGACCACCTAGCTAACGACAAAAGAATAACGATTTATTTATTATCTGCACATGGAACGTATGTATCCCTTAAGCCCCGGTCGTTCTTAGATTGCTAACACAAAATGATAAAATGAAAACCAATATAATATCGATTTAAGAGATAAGATGGGTTCAGGGATTATGGAGAAGAGATTGCAATAATTATATACCATAGCGGACATACCACCTAACACTAGTTTAGTATCATTAATATATTAACACTGCCTACTTCCCTCACTCGAAATGTACCAGTATCGTGTTCTGTATTATAAATACAAGAACTGTCTCTCGACACTGAGGTCTCAATCTGCCTACTCCTCTGCTAGTCACTCGACACTGAGGAGTAGCCAGATTGAGACCTCAGTTGCCGAGAGACAGTTCTTGTATTTATAATACAGAACACAATACTGGTACGTTTCGAGTGAGGGTAGTAGGCAGATTGAGACCCCGAACTCGAACCGAACCGTATCCCTCTTGATAATGGCTCCAAAATGGGAGCCGAAACGTCGAGCATTAAATTCTCAACGTGGTTCTTCCCGAGAACCTAGTGATTTTCAGATATATATATATATATATATATATATATATATTATATATATATATATATATAGATATATACATATATATATATATATATATATATATATATATACATATATATATATATATATATATATATATATATATATACATATATATATATATATATATATATATATATATATATAGATATATACATATATATATATATATATATATATATATATATATATATATATATAATATATATATAGATATATACATATATATATATATATATATATTATATATATATATATATATATATATAGATATATATATATATATATAGATATATACATATATATATATATATATATATATATATTATATATATATATATATATAGATATATACATATATCATACTCGACAATGAGTTTTTGATATATTTTACTTTTTTTTATAGTATTTTTCTTAATGTTATTGTTTAGTTCGACAATGTAACTCTCTTATTTATACATCGATGATTGAATTTAATTGAAACAATAATGATATATTATTGTTTATAGTCTTTTATACAACCGTACTACTATAATACTATAATACAACTATAATACTAACGAAATCTTGATAGTAGAGGGCCAGCAGATCGAAAGAGTAAAAAAGTACACTTACCTAGGAACACTTATAACAGAAAATAATGACTACACGGCAGAAATCAAAGTCAGAATCGAAAAAGCACGTTCTAATTTTATAAAAATGAAAAAGGTCCTATGTGGCAAAGATCTAACATTAGCTCTTAAAGTACGCCTAACAAAACGTTACGTATACAGTGTACTATATTATGGAGTGGAATCATGGACGTTAAATCTAGATACCATGAGACGACTTAACGCCTTTGAAATGTGGACCTATAGAAGAATTATGAGGGTTTCCTGGGTAGATAGAGTTACAAACAATGAAATACTGAGAAGAATAGGCAAAGAGAAGGAAATTGAACTTACAATTAAAGAAAGAAAGCTACAGTATCTCGGACATGTGATGCGGGGCGATAAGTATGGCATCCTGCGACTCATAATGCAAGGAAAAATAGATGGCAGAAGAAGCATCGGAAGAAGACGAATTTCATGGCTGAAGAACCTGAGAGAATGGTTTGGATGCAGCTCAAAACAACTATTTATAGCTACTGCCTCAAAAATTAAGATAGCTATGATGATTGCCAACCTCCGTAGCGGGAGATGGCACCTGAAGAAGAAGAATACAACCGTAGGCAATTGTTGTGTGCGCGTAAATTTAAAGTGCAATGATTCTTAAATCCTGTGCTGATGCGCCGCTCGTGGTAAACCGGCAAAGTGGTCAGCCGTGGTTTTCCCGTAAGAAATACATAGCCTATCTTACCTGCACTGTATTTAAACTGTGGCTTCTACTAATATTATATTTTTGATATTATATTTTTATTACATATTTCTCCAATGATGTTCGTTCATATTTTATTAGCTCCGCTACTATATCGTCTTCAGCTGCTGCCTTGTAATTTCCGAGATTTTTATCTGTTTTTGTATGTCATCTGCTATGAGGCTTTCGATTTCGTCGTTGCCATGAGTTTCTAGTCTTCCGTCATCTTCATTTAGTGCTTCTTCATTGATGTATAACTCGTAATGTTCCTCTCACAATATCTTTGGATACTTCTAGTCACCTTAACTTTTTTGTAGAATTGCT